AAAAAAACATCATTGCCGCTTTGCCTTTCCATCAAAAAATTGTAGAACAGAACTTTTTCAATATCGAAAATTTTCGTAATTTGAAGCAAAGATTTGAAGCAATATGCTACCAATTAAACATGGAACAATTTCAAAATATAGCTTAATAGCAAAGTTGAAATTCGATCTTCTACTGTTAATATCTTCTAGAAATTTTGGAAAAAAAATTTTCAATATTTTTCTCGTACTCCCCAAGGGAGCCTCTATTATCCCTTAAAAGGAATGACGCCAATTTTGAATCACCCTGTATTTGAAAACTCAATTGAGAATCCAGACTGTTCTCTAGTTGGATTATGTTGTGCAGACTTTGACCAGATACTGGGCTACAGGTCATGGGCCTTGTTTGATTAGCGTTTTCCCTCAGGCCGACAATTTCCGTTTCATTTCCTTGTGAACGCGGCAGGCTGTTGAGCTGTTATTTTTGCCATTTTCGGCCCGGTTGACCAAATAAAACATCTCATTGATCACTGAACCTGACAAGCAATCCAAATGGATTCCCCGCGATCGGTTCGATGGAAAAATATGACGACGGCCGCACAATAGCAGATAAATCATGCAAAATGTATTATCGAGCCTCCGCTCGCTCGAAACACAATAAATAACGACAATAAACATTTCATCCGCAGACAGATTTATCTGTCGGTAAATAGAGTCGACGGCTTCCTTTTGACAATCTTTTGCATGTCAATATGTCTCTTTTGATTATTACACTAAATATACCTACAGTAAAAAAGTGCTCAAGTGGCAACAGTGACGCCATACCTTCGTCCTATTTAGTCAGAGTACTTAGTGGCAATTTCCTGTGGAAAAAATTGTAATTTATGTCGATTTAGTTGAGATCAATTGCAGTGTAACAGTTTGAGTTATGGCTTAAAAATTGCCCCACTTAATGGTCTATTAGCCAATTAATTTTCTAGTTGATTGAGTGATTCACGACAACTCCATCCGCCAGTCAGGTCAGAAAAGCATTCAAAATTTTCCTTGAAGTTTGCGGCAGATTTAAATGAAAAAATTCTTGATGGTGGCAAAGATGCAACCTGACTCACCTCTTCGTCTAGTGGCAGAGGCGAAGGCCGGACGACAACGCCAAACCCTCGCGTTCGAACGCAAAACCCTACGAAGATATTTGCGAGCCCACTTGAGGTTGCCATGAAAAAGTGAAACGCTGACCCTAATCCAGTCGGACAGGCCATCGAAATCGATTAACAAAATATCGATATAAAATCTTAATTAAGCGCTTTTTAATAACGTCGACCCGGATTCTGGGAAATGTTCGAGAATCGTTTACAAATTGACTGAGACGCGCACAAGAAGTCGCTTTAACTGGTTTTCGAGTAAAGAGCCGATTTTTAATTGAATGGACAGCGAAAACGTGTCGATCTGCCTAATTATTACCCGTTAAGCAGCCGCAGTATTGACAGGTATTTTAATCGCTCAAACTTTCACTTGATTACAATCTTGAGTTGAAGGTTTCCAAGATCCTTTGGAATCGTGTTGGGAAACAGTGCAAGAACGATAAGTAAGCTGTTTGGATCTTCGACGATTCTCATTCGCGTCTTCCTTTAAAAGGATGTGCCTTTCAAGTTCCTTGTGAAAGTGAAGCCACATAAAGCGGACCAAACAGGCCAAAGTGGCTCAAAAGAATGCGAACTTCCAAACTGCGGCGGCTGCAACATTGCGATTTTGCACAAAAATGGACTGAAGAAATTGGAAGTCGATTCAAAAGTTGGTTCCATTTAGTAAAAAATGACAAATAAGGAGAATAGTTTTCACCTTGTTGGCTACAGTATTAAAATTTTCTAAAACTTTACCAGATGCCGTATCAAATGCAATGAAAAACGCGCAATCGAACTTAGATTTGCTCTGATTTAGTAGAAGTCCATAAATACGGACGGGACTTTCGACTTTCTACGCAACTGGTGCAACTGCGGCAAAAATTTATAACTTGGAAACTCCGGGGGCAGCAACAGCGAAATTTTGTGAAACTTTAGAGGAAATTTCAAGCAATGCACTGAAGAAACTTTAAGTCAAACCGTTGATTGAAAGAGTATATAAAGATACGCACAGCCTAGGCATTTTCGGTGGCCATATACCCTTTGCATCACCACGTCCCTCCCAAGAAAGTCGACGACTGTACGGTGCAGCCTCTAGCGGTCAAACTCTGTTAACGCTCACTTTATTTTATTCCGGCGAAGCACAGCATCCAAAACCAAGAGCCTCATCGTCATCCTGGGGCGTAAAGTCGGGGTCAGTACTTTTGAATCCTCTCGCGATTTGCCTTACTTTC